CCCATATTACTTCTAGAGGTGAGAATTTCACCCCCTCCAAAAAAAAAAAAAAAAAAGTGGAATAAAGGAAACAAAGCACAATCCTATAAACCACATATGATTTTAGTATCTACTGTGTATTTAGCTTTATGTCAGACCTATTCCAGTCCTCCAAACTTTCAATCCAATTGAGAAAAACTAAAAAATCATTTTAATTGTAATACCAGACAAGTGGGTACCTAAATCAATGTGGAAGGGAGTTTAGTGCTATTGACATCGAGAGGGAGGCTCTATCCCTGAGGGTTAGAGTAAGAATTAAAATAAGATTATAGCACTCTATCCAATCCACCAAACGCTTCTGACATCTCTATTTGGAGGATTTCGAGCTTTGGGTGGGCAGATTGTCCTTTATTATAGTGGGAATTATTTTTTAAGCAGTAAATTTTTCTCCACTAACAAGCCAGGGGTGGTAAGTATGAAATGGGAGTTGACGAGAATATTTGTTGTCAAGAAAGATACAAGAGCTATTTAGTGAAGAACACATCATAATGAAGTTCTGCCATATAAGCTCGAAGAGACACTATTGTTCCCTCCTTAAGATGGCCCTTATTGAAACAGAGCAGGGCCCTATGGTTCCTCCCCGCCGTGTCCTCTGCCTGCCTTTTGCCTGTGGAAAAACTTTAGCCAAAGAATAAGTTTAACCACAGAAGTTAGAAAATGCAGAAGCAAAGAAAAGCAGTCAAACAGGACAAAACAATAATAGTTTAGTCACTAAGCAAAGTCAGTGACCTTTAGTTCCTTCTCAAGGGCTATAGATAACATTCTGAGCCATATCCTTTGAGATATGTCTTTTTTTAATTAATTAATTAATTAATTAATTAATTTCTGGCTGCGTTGGGTCTTTGTTGCTGCGTGCGGGCTTTCTCTAGTTGTGGTGAGCAGAGGCTACTCTTCCTTGCGGTGCGCGGGCTTCTCACTGCAGTGGCTTCTCTTGGGTGTGGGGCACGGGCTCTAGGCACCCAGCTTCAGTAGTTGTGGTGCACGGGCTTCAGTAGTTGTGGCTCGCGGGCTCTAGAGCGCAGGCTCAGTAGTTGTGGTGCACGGGCTTAGTTGCTCCGTGGCACATGGGATCTTCCCGGACCAGGGCTCGAACCCGTGTCCCCCGCACTGGCAGGCGGATTCTTAACCACTGCGCCACCAGGGAAGCCCCTGAGCTGTCCTCCAGCTACTGAAACCCCCACCAGGTAGGAGAAGTTAGCTACATGACGACCAGACTGTAGCCATGACACAATTCCAAGAATTGGCCTCAAGGATATGGGAACAAACCAACCCTGGAACTGAAGGTTAACTGTACTTAAAACAATCCAGATGACGCTGATCAGACCACTGCATGGCCAGTTTCACGATGACTGTCCAAGCTGACTGTGCTATTTCTGCATGTCGCCCCCTCCCTCTGTCTGTAAAAGCTCTTTCCCCCTGTTTGTCTGGGGCGGGGAGAGGGGGGAGCCGGCCTTTGGACAGGAGCCCACCCACCCCTTTGCTGGCACCCAAATACAGCAAGTTGTCCTTTCCACCAAGCTTGCCTCTTTATTGGCTTTTGAGGGCGAGCAGCTGGACCCCACTTTCAGTTACATTATCTCTGACCAGCACTGACTGTTACATTTCTCCATGTGTTTGCCACCATCATGTCTTTATTCCCGGTTTCCCGCTTTTCACTACAGCAATAAGTAATTTTTTTCCTGGAGACTTTCAGCAAGAAACTGGAATGCTTCTTAAAACATCATCTTTCATTAGCAACTTCTGCTGCAATATAATACCCCTGAATTTCTTCTCTATTGTTCTAACTTTTTTTCCCCAAATATACTGTAATTAATGACGGGCAGAGAACAAGTTTACCTTGTGGTATTCTGACAGCCCTTGAGTTGGTGCTGAGTATACAAGAGAAATTTATAAACGGATGAACAGATAATTGAACAGAGGTGGACATAACTAATACAAGCCCAGAATCCCTCCAGGATTATTAAAATTTTAATATGTAATACATATATGTACCTTTACCAGAAATTCAAATTAGGACCATAGCTGGTGAATTCAGGGTTTCCCTGAGTTGTTTTTTTTTTTTTTTTCTTCCCCTAGGCCATTCTAATTTCCATAGGGACCTATAACAAAACTCACATCCCTTTTTAAATCAGTTTGACCACTTTGAGGCTTTGTTGGTGGAACCCTATTCCTTTTTTGGCTTCTTAATTTTCCTGTGGAGGTTAGTAATATTAATATACACAGACAGTATATTTCATCAAAGGGCAGTAAAAAATATGGGAAAAGATGGCAATTTGATTATATGCCCAGAAGAGGAAACAAAGCAATGAAACATTTTTATTCCAACTGTCAGTTCTCTGATAAGATTAAGAGGGTTTTTTTTTTGTTTTTTGAATTGGATAAAGAAAGATACAAAGGAGCTTTTCTAGAACACAAGATATTATTTCTATATGGTTGGACGACTGTCAAAGATAGGTGTATAATGGAGCATAAGAGCACTGCTGTCCTTCACAGGTAACAGTGACTGTGGACTTCATCACACAAACCAAGGTCTGACTCTCTTACTTTCCTGCTATTTTGTTCACCTTTTTATTTCTTCCTTTACCTACACCTGTAGGCCATTTGCCTCACCATGTTGAATTTACTTCTCTTAGAGGTCTCGATATTGTGAGACAGTGGCCCAATATAAGCCACTGAAGAGGACAATCTAACAAAAGAAATAGGATGCTCCGAGTTCATAATGAAGAAATACATACAAAGGTTCTTTGCAAAATATCTATACAACATCTGTCCATGAATTTCCTACACATTTTATCCTAATGTCTCAATATTAATAACTTCTCTGCCAATATTTTTTGGAATGTATTAGATATTTGAGTTATTTTCACAACCATATTAACAATGGTAAGCATTTTTACATGGTATTTATGAATATCTGTGTGGTAAACAGTTTTATAACCACCTTAGTTTTCCCCAAAAGGCATTCAAAAGAGGGGGCATGGCAAGGTATTTTAATACATCTGGGATTAAAGCTGCTTAAAGGTGAATTAAATGTAATACATGCTTATGGTACAAGCAAATACAGTGTGGAATGTGAGCGATTTGCGATGGAAAGTATCTAACTTGACATCCAGTCTTTTCACCTCTTGCCTTGCCTCCCCCATCACTCTCTTGAATGTGTTTGAAAGACGTGTTTCAGCATTTCAGTTCAGGTCACCCACCACTTCCAAATCAATGTCACCTCCAAATTGCTGTATCCACAGAATAGATGTCATTAACAACCTCCCAATTTCCACCCAATATGTAAGCTAGATTCTCTTTTCAAAACCCATTTCACTGTACAGTTCTACCTGTATTCTTTTTATCACAGTAAATTATTTCTTCCTCCAGTAAGTGTTTATGGTTTTCAAACACGTACACACATACCTTCCTTAGCCAAGCCGTATAGACATAATTCTTCCAAACTTTTCGCATAAGTCAGCCTCTTTCCCCTTATCAATTGTGAAACTCTTCTTTGGATTCCTTCCAATCTGTCTACTTATTTTTGGTAGGCAGACAAACCAAATGGAATGGGACGTTCTAGAATAGGTCTCATGAATGTCGTTGGGAGTGGAACTGTCACCCTCTATTCCATGATGAAATGCTCTAAATAGAATGCCTCCAAAAATAAGATTAGCCTTTTGGGTGCCACATCACACTAAAAATGTGTAGTCTTCTCCCTTTTTCAGCTTTATATCTCCAGATGTCCCCCCCCCCCCAGCATCTCTGGGATATATCCTCATCAGTTCAGATTCTTAAGAGAGTATGCTTTTTAATGTTTCTCACAAACATTCCCAATTTATCCCCTTAAATTTCAAATCTTGGGTTTTGTTTTTTTTTTACATAATTACCTAGGCTCTTCATGATTTTCCTGTACACCTCTGTGCATCCACCCCAGAAAATTCTCCGGGGGCTTTTTACAGCTATTTCTTAGTATCTCCCTTGCTTAAGTCTTTTGCTAAGTATACAATTTTTTCTTTGACCCTTTTCAGTTTAATTCAATGAATATCCGTCAAATTCCTCCAATGTCATTCACTGTATTAATGACAATGGAGAGTACAGCAATGGAGAAAAAGTAAATTCTATAGGAGAGACAAGCACACAAATATAATTTGAATGTCACTTAATTCTTTCGTGGGCATTTTGAGCACAAGTCTTCCTTTGGTTTACTCATACCCTAAACACACCATATGTTTCTACCTGTCTTGTTTCCAGACTGGCTTAGTCAATGTCTCTGAATGACGCAGTTAATGTTTCTTTGCCTCTATGACTGAAAAAAGGGAACGGGGTCCCAAGGACAAGGATGAGCGTTTTATCAGGTGTAAGGGGGTACAGCCTATGTCGTGGGTCAGCCTTGTGAGGTGGGAGCACAGCCCCCAGGCTGGTCTGTGCCCTGGGCATTACTGGTAAACAACTTGGCTTCCAGAAAGCCCTGGAGAACCAAAATCTTCTTCCAGGAATCTTGACTATCACTGTATGCAATCCCTATCACTGATCTCTTTGCTCGTTTCAGTTTTCCCAGTTTATGTTTTTGCTTTGTTTGTTTGCATTTAAATTTAATGTTACTCTCGTTGAATAAGAATAGTTTCAGTCAGGAAAGACAAATTTGATAGGAAAAAAAGAAAAATATTATAAGAGAGAAGAACTTGGATTCTCATCCAGGTCCTGGCACATCTTTACACTAGAGCATGATTTGTCTGAGTCTTGTCTTTGCCCTAAAACCACCAGGATTTAAATACAGCACTAAAGAAAGAATCACCCAACCTCTCTATGCCTCAGTTTTTTCATGTGCAAAGTGGCACCAATAGTGGTGTCTCTGTCAGAGCTTGTTGCCAAGATTAAGGGTGTGGTAGAGCTCTCCCCTCAGTACCTGGCCCACATCAAATGCTCCATAAATATCACCTATTCTGTGCTGGGCTGACTCTTTTTGGTGATTATTTCAGGTTGATTTGCTAACATCCGAGTGGCACCTCTGAAAGGTAAGCAAACCTTCTTTCACTGTCATTCTAATAAAGTTTATTTATGTGTACCTATCATTCACCAGGGCAAGCAAACTTTGTATGACTGCTTTCAGGAAATCAGTCACCTTGTTGACTGAGGGTGTATTTTCCAACATATTCTCACCAGAACCAGGAAAACCAGTGAAGGAGAGGTAGAAAGGTGCTGCTCTGGTGTGAGAAGCCATTGCACCATTCCCGATTCTTCCTGCAACTTATCTGACCTCCTCTGTCTCACCACTATCCCTTTTTGACCCTGTTGCCCCATGGCTTCTCTTCTGCACCAGATTTTTACTTCTCCCCCTGAAACCCAGAGGCACAAATGCCAATGAGCTTTGCATTTCAGAGTTGACATCTTATCAGCTGATAAATTTTATGCTGCAGTTGTTTTTCTCTAACATAGATTGAAAACCTCTAAATCAGGGATGGGCTGTCTTGCGTTGCTTGTCCTGCATCACATAAATCACTGGCAGATAAATCATCATAACGACACTACCAACTAACCCCATGTTGCACTGCCAGGCCCTCCTTCTTTCAAACTGTGTACATTTTGTCTGAATTGCCTTCTAATTCCATCTTAATATTTAAATGAAAGTGAATTAATTTAAAAATCAGAAACCTTGTGACATAGCATATTTAATTCTAAAATGAGAGGTATAATATTTCTTGTGTCTATTGCTACAAGAACTTCTTTCCCAAAGAAATTATCCGGCATGCTTAGACCAGTCTCATAAAATTGTTTTCTTTTGTCATTCATATTTTTATCACATCCAGAAGAAGTTTATACTTGGCCTTATTTCCCCCTTTCTTTATCATAAAGTCAACTACTACGTAAGTATTTATTCACCAGACATGAATAATTGGTATTGTGCTTCTTATTCTCTGGTCTCCTGGATTTATTACTATAGCTTGCTTTTCCTACTTGCCATGTTTTAATTTAAGCACTCCCCAGGTCTCCAAATGGCTTATTAGATGGGTTTCCTTATTGTCCCATTTCCCATGATAATGTCTTTGTTTTGTTGCCCCTATTTTTATTGTGGTGAAATATACATAAAATTTACTAGTAGCCATTTTTTAAAGTGTACAGTTCAGTGGCATTAAGTACATTCCCAGTGTTGTGCAGCCATCACCACTATCCATTTTCAGAATTTTGTTATCATCCCTAGCAGCAATTCTTTTTTTTTTTTTAAGTGTAGTTGATTTACATTATTATGTTAGTTTCAGGTGTACAACATAGTGATTCAATGTTTTTATAGATTATACTCTGCTTAAAGTTATTATAAATTATTGGCTAGGTTCCCTGTGCTGTACAATATATCCTTGCAGTTTATTTACTTTTATAAACAGTAGTTTGTTCCTCTTACCATGGTAACTTCTTTGCATATTTGACATGTTGATATTTTAAGAAGCTGTTGCTTCTGTTTTTTATTCTATCTTGTTTTGTTTTTTGATCAATTCTACTTACAGATATTCAAGCATGTTAATATTTACCTGTCAGATATTTTGACAGGTAAATATTTGTATATAATATTGTCACACTCAAACTATAAAATATTGATAAAATACTTACCAGAGATGAATTTTTCACATGCTACTAAAATATTTGCCTGACAATTTCATACTTCAACAATTTCTTAGAGAATTGGCTTTGACCTAAAAATTTTAGCCAATTAGTATGTTTACAGAAATCATTTTTATTCACTTAACATAATTACAGAGCTTTGCTCATTGCTGTGAGTTAAAGGTGCATTAGCATCCAGTGATTAGCCCCTTCTGTGACTCTTTAGATTTTAATAAACAGGAGAGAAACCACCTCCTAGTCTAAATATCTCGTTCTTTCATAAAATACCAAGACGGAGACCCTGACAAAGAGCACCTCAGAATACATTTCTAAGTAGGTTGCCCAGGCGTTTGTTGAGGTCTCCTCTAAAACCTTTTAGGAATGAGAGGAAAATAATTTTACATGGAGTTTGATGGAAAGAAAACCAAAAATATGGGCATTATTTTTAAACTATTGAAAATGAAGAATCTATCCAGTCAAGAAAGAGTCAAGTCCAGAGTTTGTCGTGGGATCATCGCATTAGTAGGTATTCAAGAAACATTTGTTCAGTGAACGTTGGAGTATAGGGTTCATGTAACAGAGAGCAAAGATATGGGAACAATGGCAATACTAAGTACAGGCATTATTTATGAATTATCTCTGTGTGTCAGGCAAGTTATTAAGTTTTTGCATGCATTATTTAATCCTCACAATGACTATAAGAGGAGGTGATATTATTAATCCCACTTTACAGATATGGAAACAGATTCACAGAAGTTAGTTCAGTCATAGAGCTAGAAAATGGCAGAGCTGGAATTGTAACCCAGGCACTTTTGACTCTAAATTCATCACTCTCAACCTCTATGTTTTCCTTCTCTCCTGACCACCAAGTCTTCCATCCAGCAAGTGGAGAAAATAGAATGCAGGCTCTGGACAAGGGATCGGAAATAGGCACAAAATATTTGTAGAAAGACTGAGGCTTGGTATTTGCCAGCCAAGGTCGCAAAGTCTTTTTTTTATAATTCTTTTTTTGAGGCCAGAACTGGAATAGAAATATATTTTAATCCCAAAGTGAAAATGAACAGCCTCAAGGGGAATAGAGGAGTAGCAGAGCCTGACAGTAATTTATACAGGTTGTGTGTAAATAGTTTAGGAGGCTCAAAAGCTAAAACTGAGGGGAGAAATGCAATTTATAGATGTTGGAGAGCAATTATTTAGAAATGAAAGTTTTCAGTGTAGTCAAAAGTCATCCCTAATTTAGAAAATTACTGATGGCTGCAAAATTTATCTAGATCTATTTTATAAACCATTCTGCAAATAAAATTAAAATAGTACCTTGAGATTCACTGAATACTTGGGCTGAACGAGGTACAGAATATAGACACAAATCTCCTCCCAGCTGCTTCTATTTAGGTCAAACCTGCTTGGGAATTTTGAGCCCTATTACCAGCAAGACAAAGGATTTTACCAAACTATGTCCTGAATAATTAGAAGAAATCAAGCAAAATCTCACATCCATTTAAAACACTGGTTGGATGAAATTAGGCTTGCCTCTGTTGCGGCATGCCTTTCAGCTCTAACCTGAGAGGACGCCGACCCTGCCATTAGGACAGTGCCCGGGGAAGTACTGTCCCTGTCATGGCCCAAACCTGATCCTGAATCCAAAACCAATCCTTCTCCATTTGAACTTCTGTGCAGATTCTGCCCACCTCCTCACTGCCTCTGAATGTACAGCTCCAACTATGTTGGCAATCTGGACACAGGGAAACTAACTGAGGCTTAGATAAGAGCCAAAGTATTTTTATACTTGCCCCATGATGGAAATAGCCCTCCTGATGGTGAAGACTTTGATTTAGGCTGCCAATCCGAAGAGTCTTTCATTTAGCTTCTGTGATACATCCCATTTTCTTCTGTAGCTTAAGCTCCTTGACATAATTTTCTAAATTCTGTGACACCCAATACCAGCACTAGATTCTCTAGTTTTAGGGTGTTGAATAAATGATATGCTATTATCAACATGCTGAAAGTTTGGCATGGTGCTCCAAATGGTGACTTTTTTTTTCTTCCCCAGGGGAGGGTAATCTAGAGCAGTAATTGAGTGCATCATTATTTGTCACTGATGATAGCTGTACAAATCAAATATCCATCTACTAAAACGTTTCTCTGGTTTGGCCTACACAGAATTCCAATTATGTCAAACTATTTAATCTCTGGAGGGGTAATATGCGTGTATGTGTCTCTGCATATATAAAAGTACAGACACACAAAGTCCTTGAAACATTCAACATTTGCTCAGCCAACATTTCAAGGGTATTTAAGCTTCATGTCACATATTAATTCACATATAAAATGAAACTTTCAGCCTCAATACTTGCTTAACAGTCCTGAGTCGACCATCAACTGTCCACTTATATAGGACCAGTCTACTGGCAATTGTGACCCAGTCCAATAAAATTAGCAAAGAAAGTGTGAGAAGTTGTGGCCAGGGAGTAAATGTCCAGCAAGAGGCCTGGTAAGGGCATTTAATGGAAAGCAACGTGAGGGCGGAGGGGGGGGAATTCTAACTGGGAGAGAAAATGGAAAGCAGTGTGCCCAGAAGTGCAGTGAAGAAAGATATCTGTATCAGGGATGCAGAGTGGAAGTAGGGTGGACAGGACGGCCTTGTTATTTCACATTTTGGGGATGAACACGAAAAGAGAGTAGTGACTGTTTTTGAAACACACATTATTTCTCTTACTGCAAAGGAGGAAGCTTCTGAAACTTGACCTCCTTTGCAACCAAACTGCTGCTTCCACTGCCTCCTAGGTAAGTGTCACCTTCATCTCCAGACCTTGTCTGTCCCTGGCAATGTCTGAAAGGCACTCACCCTGGACTCCTGTGAATATGTCATCTAATGAAGACATCTATTAATATGGGCACATTACAGCTCGCCATCTGGCTCTGCCTCTTAGACCGCTCTCCTCCCTATAGATCTGCACACACAGAGTGCGCTGTGCCTGATCAATTATTTATCCATTTCCCTCCCTGCTGTAACAGACCCAGCCTCCGCTCTCTCTCTGCAGGGCTACTGAGGGCTGATGGACACATTTCAGGCCTAAAAACATTTTTCCATCGGAACCAAACATGGATCATCGTAAAGTCCTCGTTTGTGCTCTTTCTATCCTTTTCCCTGGGCCCCCTTCTTGTGTATACTGTGAACGCAGTGTGGCAGGGTACCCCACACAATGCGCTCTGAAATCAGACCCTGGATGCAACACAACTTCCCTTCCAACTTGTGACCTTGGCGAGTTGGTTAACTGCGTTCGCCTCGGTTTCCTCACCCGTAAAATCGAGATGATCATGGGACCTAGACCACTAGAATAGGCTTGTTTTGAGTATTAAATGAATAAGTAAGTGTATGTCAAGAGCTTAGACCAGCAGTACTTGGTCCATAGTAAGCAAAGTTACTTTGTTGTTATTTTTTTCACCTTTTATCTGACCACATGTATTAATTTGCTCATTCTTTTTTACACATCCGTCTTCATTTCTCTTTGAGTTTCTGTAACAAAACTAGTCTTTTTATCTTTCACATTATTCCTTTCATATCTTTTCGGGCTTTCCCTTTTAAGCAGTAAGAATGCATTGTCCCTCTAATTTGCTCTTATTCCTTACCCTATTTTTCTTTTCAGTGTTACTCTTTCTTGTTCACTCTTGTTTTAACTCTTTAAAATTCCTCCTTTACGTCTCTCTTTGTCACCTCAAAAAATGTTCCAGGCACAAACTAAGAATGAGCTGAACTGCTATAGAAAATTTAATTTTCATCATACTTTGTAGTGTTTTATTTTAATGTAAATATTTAGTTCTTACTTAGATTATTAGAAAACATTCAATATCTTATCCTCAAATTAAGCTGAGATTGTTTTCTAGTTGTGTTACTATGAAGCAGTCGCACGATGAAAACCAGCCAGTGAGATTCAGACTCTTTCCTCCTCCCTTCTGCAGGCTGATACCCCTCTCCTTTTCTTCCCTTGCTCCAATTTTGTAAGAAACATCCTCTTTTAGCAAAGGGTATGATATGTGTGTTTTAACTTCAAACTTCCTATTCAAAAACTTACTATTTAAAAATATTACTGACAATCACTCATCTCAGAAAATAAACTATTTTGACTTGGTGTTTCTCTGGACTTTTGGTTAAACGACCACTGGTCTAACTGAGTCATTCTGGTTGAAAGGAAGAGCAGGAAGCCTGAGCTCTGCTTTTGGATACTCCCCCAGGTGGCATTTATCCATCTGGGAGTTATGCAAATTAGTAAGAAAAAACGTTCTTCCAACAAAGGATTTTACAGTTCATTAATGCATTTATTCAAAATGCATTCACTCTAGTCGGTATCAAGATTCTCCTTGAGGACTGAGGAACGATAGCAAAAAACAGGTGTACCCTTCGCCTTGGCTCCTTCCCTGGGCTTACACAGATAGGCTTGATTTTAAGAGACGCCAAACATCAGGGGCAATATTCTCAGCTTGGCAGAATAACTGCTCTGCAAGGAAGAGAGGGGTGATGCCAAAATGCAAATATACTGAGCACTGTTCCTGAGGGCATGTTGCTCTCTCTGTGTTTAATGAAGATTGGGATGTGGGCCTGTGTCTGAGTGAATGGCTAGCTCTATGTGTTTTTGCAAAATGATGAGATGGAAAAATGTGAATATGCCGTCTTTGATTTTTCTAAATTTTCTACCAAACTGCCCGCCTGTGCTTTAATATTATCATTAATAATACAAATTAGAATAATATAATTAAATGCCCTTGGGCATCACCTGAGTGTTTCTGTACAATTGTGATGCCCTGAAGCTCCTAATCCTACTCTCACGGTTAGTACTTCACATGAACATACCCAAGTTGGCTATTTTATTTCTCGCCTGAAACTGCCTCTCTGCTCCAATTCTTTGGCTTTGGCTGCAATTAGAGTTACACTTTACTGTACTGTAAAAATCTCATTTGATGATCCATATCCGTCTTCTATAAAACCTGGTTCCAGTGGAGGTGAGAGAAGCCCTTCACCCATGGCCTACAAGGCAACGTCCAGGGCAGAGGATTTTGACTTTTCTGTGCCTGATGAGGCCATCAGTGACATAAATGTCTCCATGTATTAGGAGTGCTGCAGCCACGTTATATATTGCAGGATCACTGCTTTGAGTAGAGGATAAAAATGCCATTCACTTTACACACTGAGACCAAATGTTTTATAAGCCTACTCCTCCCAGATTCAGAAAGCAAGACTGGATTCTTCACACAATGAGGGAAAGACACAGGGACAAAACAAATTCGGGGAAGAATTAGAAACCCTGGCTTGAAGGGGAAATCAGACCTTCACAGAAGGCTTGAGAAACTGTGTTGAGACATGGAATTACCAGTAAGATTGAAAAAGCAGACTAACCTGAAACATACAAGAAGGACGAATCATAAGATGTGTAGTCTTAAAAGGGCTGAAAAGCATACAATCCAAAGGGTTTGTGAGGTAACGTTCTGAAGATACTGAAATGCACATTCTGCCTTTGAAACAGATCCTGAAGGCAGAGAATCCTGCCTTAACTTTTTTTTACCCTCCTACACCCTTCAGGCAGGGATGACTCTCCAGGCTCAAGGTTACTCCCTTCTCTCCTTATTCAACTTTCTTCGCCCTCCTTGTACAGTAATCTGGAGACTGAGACTAATGCTCTGTGTGCCTCTCCTTGGCCAGGACTGCAGGGACTGCAGAATGATGACTGCTTTTGGCAGAGGTCCAGAGAGGAAAATTTATTTACTGCCTTGTCGATGTCTGGTGAGATTGGCTGCTGCCTCTCCACATCCATTATAAAGTGCACGTGCGGCTAGAGCAGAAACTTAAAAAGAGCTTTTGCTTTGGTAACCTTGCTGATAATCCTAAAACTCCCAGGGTAAGGAATCACAATACAGGACCAGTCTGGAGGTACACCAGCTGGGGTCATGGCACAGAAGAAGGAGCCCACTGCATTCTTGCTCTTTGGGGTGCTGGTATTTGAACCTTTACCAAAAAGAAACTAAGAAAAAAATACATATTTGCTTGTGTGATATTTTAAAGTAAAATGAATACCATTTGATTGATAAATTTCCTTTAGGTTTTGGTGGGGGTAACGCTGCAAAATAATATTTATTTAGCAGTTTTCAAAATACTTTTACCTTGAGCTCTCATTTTCAAGCTAATGGGAGTTGGTGATTCATCAAGAACTTTTAAAATTAAGGATCATTACTTTTGCTACATTTAAATTCAAATTACCTGGGATACTCAATTAATCAATCGTTAAACAATATTAAAACAGTCAAGGCCTGTCACACTCTTGTCTATGATGGAAGAGAATTCAAGATTCCAGCCAAACTAACAAACCACCCTAAAGGGAGAGGTAACTTAATATATTCTACCCGTGTTCTTCACTCGGCCTTTTTTGGAACGAAGAAAAGACATATGTCAGCACTGAAATGGCTGTTGCCATCTTACTCTCCCGTCTGGCTGTCACATGGCTAATTGTCCTAAAACAGCTGGATGAGGCAATAGCGTCGTTCATGGCTCAGCTTAAATATGGTCAGGCAGAATGAGTAGCGCTATATGCTCTGTCCCCACAGAGCAAAATATCTTCCAAGAAAAATGTGCTTTTAATAATTTTGTAACCCTTAAGTCTTTTTCCTTTTCATATCAGTGTTTGTGCTTTTTATGATATCCCCATGTGACAGTTTTAGTTTCTTTCAGAGGTATCTACATAAACCATCTTTCTGGAAAAAAAGATACTGTTTTATTCACGATGCTGAGCATTCTAGCTTGTGACAAGAACTAAGAACACATTATAATAATGTTTATTTGCCTAGAATTTTATAATCTGCAAATTCATCAAGTCTTTCAACTTCCTGTTGAAGGCTAATAGACGTTTATGTGAGAGCAACTTCAAAATTTTGAGAGGGTAATTTGTGAATAAATGGTCATTTCAATTCACTGGTTAAGAGGAATATTCTTAGTGCCAGAACATCCCACCTCCAGTCATTCTTAATAAAGGCTGCTTAGCATATAAGGCTTAATATGTAAGATGCTTAGTTCTACAGTGGGTGTGGGCTACATGGATTGGCTCTTCTCTGAAAGTTAAGCAGCTTATTTGCTAAATCAAATCTTTTGAATGTACAGGCTGTTATTCTAGATTCTAAAACTGCCTTTGTTAATTATATTCATATAAATATTCAATCGCCCTTTTAGAGTCTTCCTAGTTACCTGCTTAATATTGTCCAGCAAGAGTGATATTCATAGGTTAATTATTCCCCATGTAATAGACAGTGAGCTTTGTCTAGTCAAAATGTGTTACCTTGTACTTTGATTAACTTTTCTCCTCTGATTCAAAGAAAGAGAATAAAGTGAGGAGTCGTGCCATCTATCTAAAACTTACCTACCTACCTATCTTCACCAGGTCTGCATATCCATAAACACAAGATGGCTCTCTGGTAGCAGAGAGATTAAAGGGGAGGGACAGAAAGATCACCAATTTTACTCCTACTCTGTCCCTCCACTCTGCATGTAAAGGACAATCTGACCTTGGTGCCGCCTTCCCTGTAACATGAGAAGTAACCCAGAAAGGGCATGCTTGATTTGGCTGAAGAATTAGAGGGAATCTCAGGGAGGGACAGTGGCAGGTTTTATGTTTAGATGAGAACGGGCATCTTCCGCTGGCAGACCCTCACAGTATAATATCCTTTTGTGCTGTTTCCTTTTCTCCAACCCTACACAAACACCTGGAAGTTGAGGAATTCTCTTGCCTTAAACACTGAATCTC